GATAAGAAGAAACTAGATAGTTATTTAAAAAAATAAAAAAAAAGCTAACAGAATAAATTAGTGTAAATAAAAACTTTCACAAATTATTTCACCAATAAAAAATGATAAACAAATTTTAAAATTGATAATAAAACAAAAATAAATTAAATGATAAAAGATAAGCTATAAAATGAAATAAATTAAATGATAAAAGATAAGCTATAAAATGAATGAATGAATGAATGAATGCTTTACATGGTCAATTTACATATATGTGTAAATGAAGTAGTGCTAGTAAGATAGAAGCAAATAGGTTAGCGGTTATTTTTGCAAAGAATAAATTTATAGCTTAAAATTAGCTCACATGGGATTGAAGTTTAGAGCCATAAGCATAAAGAATAAGTCAAAAGAATGCAGAAAATTCACATATCCTATATGGTGAATTGATAGGAAAAGTGGAGAATGTAGAGTGAAAAAGAATTGAGAACAAGTGACAAATTGAATTTTTTTAAAAAAAAAAAAGAATATCAAGTCCTTTTTTTATTGTTGAGAATGTTTCTAACATACATACACACACACACGCACACACACACGCATACACACACATATATACACACATACACATACACACACACACACATACACACATACATATATACACAATTATAGATATCAAGAAAAAGTAAATATAATGAGAATACTTTTTTTTTCCTTTTTTTTTTTTTTGCTATACAAATTTTTGAACGTTAACTAATAGTAAGTAAGGAAGAGAGAAGTTAAGGCTAGTTTAGTATAAACAAGTCATAGTCCTACCCTGCCTCTGGCATGTTTTTTTTTTTTTCTCTTCTCTTGTTTACTGATGATAGCAAAAAAAAAAAATAAAAGCTGCTAAAGTTTCCTTGCAAAGCCTTTTTACACATTCATTTTTTTTGCTTATAGCTTACCCTATTCAATCCTATCCTATCCTTTTTTTTTTCCCCCCCCCCCACCTTTCTCTCTTCCTTTCAAATAATACTAGTTGTTACTACTACTATTACTATTACTACTACTAGTAGTAGTATTACAACTACAATTATTACTATCATTATTTACAAATAGATAAGATTATATCACTGCCTGTTTGCATAAACAAAAAATTTAGTTTTAAGTTCTAAAAAAAAAAAAAATTATACTCCTAAGTGTGTTACACCATTTTGTAAATTATCACTGTGAAAAGAAAAAAAAAAAAGATAAAAAATTTGATAATATCAGTATGAATAGGCTTGAAATCGTGCGCATTTATCATAATCGAGAAATGAAATTGATAATATATATCATAATTGAGAAATGAAATTGATAATGTATATAGTAATCGAGAAATGAAATTGATAATATATATCATAATCGAGAAATGAAATTGATAATATATATCATAATCGAGAAATGAAATTGATAATATGTATCATAATCGAGAAATGAAATTGATAATATATATCATAACCGAGAAATGAAATTGATAATATATATCATAATCTAAAAATGACATCGATAATGTGTATCGTAAATCTAGAAATGAAATTGACAATATCTTTTCCTTTTTAATGAAATTTGAAATGAAATTGATATATATAAATCATAATCTAGAAATGAAATCGATTAATATCAGATAACCTATTATGTATTACATGCATTGCATCATCATTAAATTAGATGGCCTGTTTATGTATTTATATGCATTGTATCATAATTGAATTATTTTAGAGTTCAATTGCGAAAAAAAAAATAAAAATAAAATAAAATTTGACCATATCAATGAGACAATTTAAGCTATACATATATTACATAGTCTAGAAATGAAATTGATAATATCAGATGACCTGTTATGTATTACATGCATTGTGTTATCATTCAATTACTTTAGTATCCTTTTTTGTAAACCACAAAATTTAATTGTTTTTCTTTTCTTTTTTTTTTATTACAAATAAAAAGGAGAATCTGTTTGTAGTAATTTGGTGACAAAATGACAACAGATGCGATGGAAATAAAAGGAAAAAAGTAATTGTCAAATGGTTAAATGACACTTTTCCTGTTAGCTTTTACACTTTTACACATTTCTTTCAAAACATCAAAAACGGAAATATTTTGCTCTATTTTATGTCCAGAAATTTGTATTATTGAAAAAAAAAGTGATTATGAAATAGTTAGCGAAGTGAATAAATTTATTCCTTTTCAATGGAATATCATATATTGATGAATGAAATGGTGAAAAAAAAAAAAAAAACGAATCAGTCTTTTCAAGTTTAGAGATTTAAAAAACAAAAAAAAAAATGAACAAAAAAAAAGAAAAAAGTGGCTTATGGATGTTGTATTGAAAACATTTTGAAATTTGAAAAGAAAAAAAAAGCTTGAATTGAGAGAATTTTCTTTCATGTAACACACTTATTGCATATTAAAAAAATTAAAATATGAAATGGAAAAATTTGGTAAAAAAAAAACAGTTAAAATATGAAATGAATTCGATAAAAATATTAAAATGGTTTTTTCTAATTTATATAAATTGTTCGTTTTTCTTCTTTCTTTTTCTTTTATTTCTAAAAGGTATTGGATAAATTAAATAAAATTTGAAATTATTTCAATTTGAATATTGCTAGGACAATAATGAAATTGTATATCCTGAAATGTTGCAAAAGCCAGCTGACTACTATCAGTTAAAGAAAAAAAATGTTCAACTAATTGCTAGCAATGCGTTTCCAACTACAGAGCTACTTTATGTCTACTATAAACACATTATTACTACTATCATCCTAAACTACTCAATAATGTTTTCTTTTTCCTGAAGTACTTTAAAAAAAAAGAAGAAAGAAAAGCAACTCCTGGTTAGAATAGTAGTTTGTCTGTCGCGTAATAGTTTAAAATGCAAACATTTAACCAGATTATCTAACTAGATCACGATGACATGATGATGAGGAGGATGATAATGAAAAGGATGATGATGATGATGATAATGATAAGGATGATGATGGTGATGATGATAATGATAGAGATGATGATGGTGATGAGGAGGATGATGGTGATGATGATGATGGTGATAATGATGATGATGATGAGGATGATTATGAGGATGATGATG